GCGAGATCTCTCAAAGATCTTCCAGCTAGGTTGAGGATTACGGGGACCTGATACGACCGTTTACGGCGCCGTATACTGCCGTGTCTGGTTGCTGTAATGCTCGTTCTGGGTAGGGGAGGACATTCTCAAAAGTTTTACCAAATTCTCTTCGAACAGAAAGAATGTCTTACTTGTAAGCAACGACAATGATGACTCCTTTTCTTTCTCTCGTTCATTGTAGGGACTCCTAATATTCCGCTCAATGCCCGATGGGAACAGAATGGAGTGACAGTTGCTGGAGGCCTTGAACAAAGCGAGGACACAAATCAGCTCTACTATCCTAACGGTCTCTTCGTGGATGATGATCAAACAATGTTCGTCACTGACTCGTGGAATCATCATATTATCCAATGGAAGATAGGTGATATGAATGGACAAGTAATAGCTGGTGGTCATGGGGAAGGAAGTCAACTGAATCAATTGAAACATCCAACCGATGTGTTAATCGATAGAGAGACGAATAGTCTCATTATCTGTGATACTAGACGAGTCGTACGATGGTCTCTTCATAGTGGCACAAGACAAGGAGAAATCCTCATCGGCAACATCGAATGCTGGGGTTTGGCCATGGATGATCAAAGATACCTTTATATCTCTGACACCGACAAACATGAAGTAAGACGATATCAAATAGGAGGAACGAATGGAACAATAGTGGCTGGTGGTCACAGAGAAGGTGCTAGTTTCAATCAACTCAACTATCCGACCTACATTTTTGTTAATCAACAACAAACCGTCTACGTGTCAGACTGCAGAAATCATCGTGTGATGAAATGGGGAAAAGGTGCAACAGAAGGAATTGTCATTGCTGGGGGTCAAGGCGAAGGAAATGCTCTAACACAATTGTCGTTTCCTCAAGGACTGTTCGTTGATACATTGGATACCATTTATGTGGTAGACTCAGGAAATGATCGAGTGATGCGTTGGCATAAAGGAGCGAAACAGGGTACTATCATTGTGGGTGGAAATGGTTGGGGAGAAGGAGCAAATCAGTTTAAGTATCCCATGGGTATGTCATTCGATCAACACGGCAATCTCTATGTTGTTGATAATAATAATCATTGTGTTCAACGCTTTTTTATTGAATAGATTTATTTTTTTGGATTACTAGTTTTTCTTTCTTTTCTTCAAATAAACCGCATTAAATTCCTTCACATCGGATGTGTCAAAGAGTCTGGTGAAAATGAGGTCCGGCGTCAAGAACATCAAGATAGTTCCTAGTCGAGCTTTTAGAGCTCTCAATGGAAGCTTCAAATCTCAATATGATTGTCGTTCTGAAGATAAGATGTAATTTTTTTATTTTTTCCTATTCAATGAATAGCATGCTATTACATTTCTTTAACCGTCTGAAGGTCGTAACATTATAATTAAATTACCATCAATCCTTACTCTTAGCCAACAGTTCATAATGGAAAAATGTATTTATTCATCACACAAGTTTAGTATTAACTATTTTATTTAAAAACTATTCCATTACAAATAATACTTGGCTTTTTACTGAATTATTTACATGAAAATCTAAAAAAAGTGTGATCTTTCTCTAGAAAATAATGAGCTTGTCGATTTAATAAAAAAAGATGACAAATGAATCACATTTTACAAACTAAAAACTTGTCTCATTTGTTTTCTACATAAATTTATGGTTGTTGGAATAAAATGAACGAAAGTTTAAAGGAATTCGTGAGCAATTGTTAGATCTATCAAATTGTTCTTTCAATCCAAATTCGATGGGCTCTAGTATCCACCTTTCATCGGTTTCCAATTTTTTTTTTACTGGAAACGACCCTGTTTGCATTCATTTAGACGTAAATATAGTTATATTCAAAAAAAAATTTTGTCGGTTAGAAACTGTCTTTAAAAACTAATCATAACATTGGAGTTTTGCTTCTTTTTTCTGTTCTGAGTGAATCATTCAATTGCACTGGACATGAAAAACCTTATGCTTGTTCTCTATCATAAATTTCTTATTAGCTTCTGTTGACTAGTCGAGTCGATCCATGTGATATCCGATTATGGTATGTTATTCATTGTTTTGAATAAACTGGAATATATAAATTTTATTTTTAACATAATTAGACTAATAGTCTGTGAGAATTGATTCGGATTACTGAATTCAAAATTCAACAAATGTTTTTTTCTTAAGATCAACTCAAACTTGATGAATTAGTAAAAAATAAATATAAAATAAAGCCTATGAACAAAAAAAAACGGAACTTACGGCAAAAGTTGAATAATAAAACATTGTTGTTAGTGAAAAAATCAATTGATTTCGTTTATTATTTATTTCATTTTTGTTATCAAAAACTACTTCAATTAAAACCTAGAAAAGATTGTTAAAACAAAAAATAAGTAAACTAAAATAATTTCTACTATCGAACTACTCGTAATTGGCACGCTAGGAATAAAAAATCGGGAATAATAAATTATAAAAATTTTATTTGAAATACCAGCTATACTTCAGGCATACTAAAATTTGTGATTTTGGCAAATGAAATTTCACGAGAAAGAATTAATCAAATTTTTGTTCCAGCAAGCTTTTGAGCTAGTAGCTATGCTTAATGACGCATAATCGATTTGTTTGAAGACATTCATTGATAGCTTTTTTCAAATAATCTGTAATTAAAAGATGCATCATCATCATTTGGACACTCAATATACAGCCATTAGCAACTATTTGGGTCAATCGAATTTTGTTGAACACGGCTGGCTTAAAAAATGCAGCAAATACATGAAGTAATAGTCCATCAACCACTGTTTGGCGCAGTAATTTAGCCTCAAAAATATGTTTCATGTCTTGTCTAAAAACAAACAACTAGTCAAATACTTTAAAACAATTGGCAGATATGGAAAACTAAGACTTATAATTACCAATTCCCTAAAACTACTTATGAATGGAATAAGAAGACAAAGATCATCGGCTAGCGTTCATTACATCGAAAGTCATTATGACAACGTTTAACTATATATTCATAAAGATGCTTTTACTATCTTGTATCATAATCATTTTACACTGACCCTACTTGTGATATATGCTAAACGAGGAAAGGCAAAGGATTGATAAATCGATTTTAAAATTTTTGTGACTCCCGTTTGCAGAAGGTGTAGATGTTGATGACGGTACTCTCTTCAACCTCATCCACAATCACATCCATTTAATTATTGTATCAAAAGACGGTTTTTAATTAAGCGCTTTATAATTCTTTCTAACAATATACGTCGCATTTTATTCGTACAATCTATTTTTAAAGTTTTCAGATGTTTTTTTAAATAAAGTTAAATGCTATATGATAGCATTCTGAAAATGGTTGAAACGTTTAGTGATATCAATATATATTTTAAAAGTATAGCTGACCGATATTTTAGCTGACAATGAAGTATTGCCACAATAAATAAAAGGAAATTAAGTTTTATAATTAATAGCAAATTCATGTGAGATATCCTTATCAAAAGTGTTGATAGTCTTAATGACCTTTTTATTAAAATTAAAATTATCTCATATCAAACGAATTATGTGCTTACGATAATAGAGGAAACTAGGGTCTGATAGAACAAATGTAAAGTTGATTAAATATCATGATCGGAAAACTCTATTTGTAACGACAATCTATCATCTTTGGCACATGTACAAATATAAAGAAAGGAAAAAACAAGGATGACTTTAGTGTCTGCACTACGGTTGTTTGTCATTTTGTACTCAATAACACGACATACATACTGATGGGACTTTGTTGGTTCTAGTCTTATTGTTCATCTTGCTCAAAATCAATTAGATGAAGGGACAGTCGAATGAATGTGAACCCATATGACGAGCGACATGAGTGAAATCTCTTTTTAGGACCGTCACATGTAGGGTTTTAAAATAATGCAGATGGTAATGATAGGATATGGATGTGGGTTTGAAGAGTTTAGCAACACCTACACCCATCCCCCAAACTCAGTAAACTAGAATCAAAAGATGATGTGATGTTACTGAAAATGTATAATGTGGTAATTGTTTGTTGTCTAGATGATGTATTGTCTGCACATAGTCTAACTGATCATCTGATCGATGAAGACCATTGAGTTTGTATTGATGATGCGAATCAAGTGTCATTGATTGTCGGCGCCAATGTCAAGAAAACTAATCTTTTATTAATTTATTTCAGCAAAGAATAGTCTGAAAATGCTGACCGTATGACATAATTTGAACTTACTAAAGCTTTCGGAAAGAAAATAATACCAATTCTCTTTACAAAAAGTATTTCAAATCACAATATACATCGGATTCATACGATGACTACTATCAATGTCTTATATAAATCTTTCAAGCAAGAAATTCAATTTGAATCACATGATATTGACAGCTTCAGATATGATACATTATTAATAGGATTGGTTAGCACATAAAAAAAAATTAGTGTGGCGTTTGTATTGAATAAACCTTTATAGAAGAACTATGTAGATAGGATGTTCCTTACTAAAAAACCTTCAAAAATGTAAACGTGCACTCCATATTTCTAAAGTTGTCCGGTAAATAAATAGATGCAAGCTTTAGCAATCACTTCCTATTCAGATAAAAAGAGATGATATATTAAGTTTAGAAGTATCACAAGCATAAAGGAGATCTCTGCAGATATTTGAAAAAGATCTGTATTATATAAGGAAGTTGAAAACATTCCTAGGATTGCATCACTTTTATTTGACTCCTGCTCTCAAAGACGTGATCAACAACTATGTTCAGTCTTTTCTAAACTTTCAAATATATATCACATACCAATACTACAACTTCGTGGCGTAATTGTGTCGAAATTGCTTCCACTTAACTAAATATCAGACAGCTATTAATTGATTGATGACACTAAAAATAAACTATAAACGAATAGTTAATGCTTCCTTTTAAAAACATATATTATTTTTTAATAACAAAATTAGAAGAAACTATCTATAACGATCAAACTCGATTTTATACATCGGGTGCGGCATAATGATTGCAACATAATAATCGAAAAAAATCAAATTGAGTCGAAAGTAATATCATATGCAAAATCATAGTAATATCTGAGTCAATCTATGCACTTTTGAAAGAATTCCTAAAGCTCTTGTTTTCTTCGAAAAATTTACACATGGTCCCACTGGGAACTCAATGAAAAACGAATTGAATCAAAATATTATTTGGATAGATATAGGAGAGAAAAGGGAAAAATAATAATGCTTTATGTATATTTATAGTACTGTTACAATTATAAGAATAATTTCTTGTCGTTTTATTTTTCATTTGAATATCATTCAGAATTTTATATCTATTATCTATCAATATTCCATTAATTATTATCTAAGCAATACACAAGCAAAAGGATTCATCTACACACTTATACATGAATATTGATGATAAAAGTAATAAAAGCAATAATAATAATAATAATAATAATAATAATAACCAATACAGAATAAAAAATAATCATAATATTTTCAGCATTATCAGTAAGAGATGAATAACAATTATAAATAGTGACGATGTACAGGAGATCGTCCAAAGTTTTAGATTTGATAAACAATATATATCGAATCCTGAATGATATCCAGATAAAAGAAAATAACACAATAAAAAAATTATTCTTATAAAATAAAAATATTATGCATATATGCATAGATGATTATTTTTCCTTTTTCTATTCATTATTTATTTATATACAAATACTGCAAAAGTAATAGTTCACATCATTGGAATATTGTAGAGAAAAGTCGAAAGTTGTTTTAAATTATTAGATGGCAAAATGATTTATATCCACCAATAATAGCACGGCTTTCATCGACTTCATTTTTATTTTGTTGCTGAGATGAAGGTAAAGGCAGAGGTAAACATTTCCAAGAACAAAGGCCGGGGATAGAGATGTGGATGTGACGGGTGAGTGTCGGTCTTCTCGATGCACACAGGCATATCTATATCTACAGCCCACACCCACTACTTCTGATTTGCTTGTTTCTGAGAAAAATCTACTTGCGGAGGAGGACAAGACACTTCTAAAAGTGGGTTCGAACTTTGAACGTGTTTCAGTATGAACTCCATTTGATATACTTTTTGAAACATCATTACTTCCTCTATGCACTTC